AGGAGAAGGATTGAGAAATATATCAGCCATGATCAAATGGCAGAGTAGACCTGATGAGCCAAATAGCCAAATTCTGCCCATCTATTTTATGGTCTTCATACCAGGTTGTGCTGATCACCTTCTAATCTAAAAGATTCCAACTACGACCAAAACTAATGCGTTCAACATATTAGGACTACCTCTGAACAGCCTGGGGTGTAGACCGTCAAGCTAAAGGGATGTATCAACTTTTAATTCTATTCATTTCTCCGGAATTTTTTTTGAACTATAATCCTTAAATTCCTCATTCTCATCAAATTTTTGTTTCCTTCCATTTACATTAAGCTCTTTTGTGACTTCTACCATAAATTTGTTTAAATGTGTCTGCCATTTCCATACTCACCATTACAATTGCTGCTGTCTTCACCTTTTAGGGACCTCAGCTGTTGCCTTCCTTTTTTAAACGTGTACAGAAGCTTTTGCACTCAGCTTTTACATTTCTAGTTTGTTTACTCTCTTATCTATTTTTCCTCGTAATCAATCAGTGGTCATCCTTCGAGTTCGAGGTTTGACCCATCCTTGAGGAATTGCTCTTTTTGGCAACATGGTACGGGCTCACAATCTTTAAACTTCCATTAGCTGTGATTTGACTCCTTTCCCAAAAGATGTAGTTTCGTTAAATAAATGCATTTTTGTTGCCAATTAAGAATTAGCTCCTTAAAAATTTGTACAAGGCTATCCACCATCAGATCTGCAAATAAGGTTTCCGATCAATTTGCACGAGTCTGCACCTCAGAGCTAATGTCTTTCCTTTGTTCACATTTAAGACCTTTGTGTTGTTCTTAACTCAAATTCTGAGTGTAAAATTCCATCATTTATTACTTTTTTTGAAACAAAAGTACCATGTTTGGATTATTCTTCCCTAGAGATGTCTTTACTACAAGGTTAATTAACCTTCTCTCACGGCACATTTGTTGTAAAATGCCCTCTTCCCTTCTCGGTTCCTTGACATACAGATCTGAAAAACTAGTTTGAATGCGTTCACAGAATATCTCCTACACCCTATTATACTAAAAGTTAGGCTTGCCCTTTCTATATCAAAGTTAAAAGTAACTCACTACTATGTCACCCTTTTTATATATATGCCTTTAATCTCCTGATATATTTTGTTTGATACTTTGAGGGGAGCTATACATTACTTGCAACAAAAATTTTCTGCACAATGTTGTTTCTCAGTTCCGTCCAAAATGATAGACTTTTCTCTTATGGTTGGAACTTGCCACTTGCAGAATAATTCCACACCAGTCATCGTTCATTTAAAGGATATCAGTGTGGTCACTGTCATGGTAAGATTTCCCTGATGCAGTCTACAAACTACATAGTTATTTAATCTATTGTCACAACTGTGTGTGGCGTCAAACCTAATGGTTGCAAATTCAGTATCATAGCCACCACATTATTGTCATGTATGATGACTGCTCATTGGTGCAGACATTTTCCATTCTTTTGATCAGTTGAAAAGGTAGGCTTGAGTGAGGGATTGTTTATCATTAGATTCAGCTCCAAATGGTTATTAATCTTCCTCCAATTACACCCTCACTCATTTTCATATTGAGTGAGAGTTGAGTAACTTGTAATAGTGCAACATGCTAAAATATTGTGCAGTCAGCATTATGTTTCATTATAAAGGATATTTTATGCAACACATCTACGCTTAACACTCAATAAATGTTGACTGTTTTGAATTGGTTTCTAACATAACTTCTAAATTGGAGTTAGTTTTCACATAAGCTGTGCAATACATTCTGTCTTCCTTAAGGTAATAACTTACAGTTTTCAACAGAATCCCATTGAATCCAATCAAAGCTTATCTTGGTTAGAAAAATTGAAAGGAAAATGATCAATTCCAGTAGTACCTTAAATCATCAGAACTTATTCCAAGTAAAGGAAGTCACTGTCATTATAAAAACTCAAAGCATTTTTCTACATAGCAGATCAGAACTCTAAAATGGGACACAGTTTAATCATTTGAACAGATTGCAGAGCCTCTAGTTCACAAGACAAATCTCATTTTAAAAAACTTAGAAAACTAGTGAGCAACAGCAAATGCTACCAGCATATCACTATCATCAACATTAGAAATTAATGACTGGTGTTAATAGAACTGTACAATATATTAATCTGAATAAAATGAAATGTCTTACAAAGCAAATGAACATCACATTATTTGCATCTAAACTTAAAAAAACTTCCTTTTATGTTGTACACTCCTGAATGCTTTCAGAAATCCCATCATTTAACAAGTCACCTTTATCCATTCAACCCTCATAATTGCAATATTTAGGCATTGCACCAACATTAAATGAATAACAGAACCAGACTATTTTCTCTAGCAGGATGTGTGAAATGGCTTTCTAATAGTTTAGAAAGTGAATTCCATTGTTCATGGTATAAATGAAAAGAAAACTGCAAAGCAAGTAGTCTGAAGACCTAAATGATGTAAAATATTTTTTAAAAGATGCTTGATAACATATTGGTGGTATGTTTCATTTAATATATTAAGGGGTTAGAATACTTAAGTCAGCATTGTTTCAAATGGCATCAGAGTCAAAAAGGCAGGGTTCAAGCCTCGTGTGAAATACCGTTGTGCCTAATCTAGCACAAGGGAGTACTGCCTTGACTGTAATGCCATTATTTGAATGAGAAGTTACAATAACATTCCATCTGCCCTTTCAGGTGGTTGTAATAAGCTCCTACAGCTAATATAAAGGGGAAAAAACTAACATAAAAAGGGAATTCTCCATGTCTGCTACAGGCATATAAATCATTAGAGAATTGTTAAAGGAGGAGTAGGGCCAATCAGAGACCAAAAAGGGGATTTAACAGGTGCAAGCAGGGGCATAACGGAGGTATTAAGTTGATACTTTGCACCTGTATTTACATAAGACAATGCTGCCCAGGCCATGGGGACAGAGGAAGAAACTCTGTCACTAGAATGGATCAAAATTAATAAGGAACAAGTCTTGGATCAAATATTGGCACTGAAAGTTACAAGGCACCAGGATCAGATGAGTTGAATCCAAGGATTTGGAAAGGTAAAGTGAGGATAGAAACTGCAGAAGCACTGGCTATAATATTCTCTGGGTATAAGAGCAAGGTGGTAATGTTGAATTTGGGGAAGACTAGTGGTAAACCTTAGCCGGAGTACTACGTACTGTTATGGGCACCACATTATGGGAAAGATGTGCATATGTTGGAGAGATTGCAGATGCGGTTTACTAGAATGGTTCAAGGTATGAGAATCAGCTATGCTGATAGATTGAAGAAGTTGTGATTGTTGTCCCTGGAGAGGAGAAAGCCAAGGGGAGATCAGGTTGAGATTTTCATAATCGTGAACAAGCACAGCAGAGTGAAGTCAAGAATGAGAAACGTGACCAAGATGGCAGAGGTTTAAACTCAGTGCAAATGAAGCAAAGGTGATCGGAGAGTTTCTCCCACTGCACTCAGCAAGTAGTTCGATTTGCAATGAGATGTCTGGAAATGTGGAAATGGATGTCTCAGTTGAACCTACCTAAGAGGATGTTTTATTGGATAGTAATGGTATGCAGGGTTATGGGGAAAAGGCAGGAGATAATACAGCCTGACTAGATAACAGAGCAGGTATAGGCATGATGATAAATTGGCCTCTTTCTGCACCGCAATACTTCTGTGAATTCTGTGCAATGAGGATGAACTCAATGATTCCCCTGCTGTCATGGCCATATGCAATCCTTAAACAAGATAGATTATGTGTCATTTATCTCAATGAAATTTGTGGAACCTTGCTGTTTTCAAACTGGTCACTATATTTCCCCACGTTGCAACAGTGATTACACTGTTTAGCGCTTGAGACATTCAAACGCCATGAAAAGACACTGTACAAATTCAAGTACACAGTATAAAAATTATATCAAGTGCCATGATGTTTACAAAGGTTTCAGTTTTGATGTCGGAAGCTGTCATGGCTCATTGAATTAGATGCAACACATCGAATCTCTGCCAATCTGCTGAAAGGGTTAGCTGGAATCCGGATATTTCCCTGGTTGTGACAGGATCCTATCCAGAACGGTGTGTGGGAGAATCCAGAGCTTCCTTCACCCTCATTCATCATCTTGTCAACTCGGGCACCAATGGCAAAAGTCTACAGTGCCATACAGGTAAGTGTTTCTTTATTTATGGAAGAGGTATCAGTTGTGGACAGAATTTTACACCGACTGTTTCAAACTACCTTGGTGGTGGTAGTGTGACAGAGAAAAAGAGGAAGAAGCAGAATTGAAAATGAAGGAATAATAAAAAGAATTCAATTAATTCAAGGATATAAAAAAGGATCAAAAAACCTCTTACTGCTGCACAGTTAAAAGTCATATACCTTACCGTAATGCACAGTGCCTACAGGTTTAAACAACTAAAAATCATAACTTGGCACTATTTTAAATGATTTGCACATTTGGAGAGAAAATGACGTTAACATTTTGTGAAATGTTGCTCTTTTAACTATGGATGTGGTAAAATATTTCATCTCCAGTGAGAACACTTCATTTATATCACAGAGCCATTTTCACATTTTAATGTCTCATTTATCTCCTGTAGATTTCCCATTCTCAATCATCCTTCTCAGCACATTTATAAATACCATAGAAGGTCATTAAAAAAAAATACACTGATTGCTCACAGATTTGGCTAGAGGCTTACTATTTTACATGGCACCCATCAAAGCACCAGCTGTCATCAATCTCACAAAAATATTATTCCCAGTGCCACATTAGCATCCCCAAGTAAACTGTTAAAAATTGTTGTATTTTGCACATGTACCAGTTTGTGTCAGTCACCTTTTATAATCATGTTTGAAACTTGCTCATTAAAAGTAGTCTGAAACAAATTACCTGAATAACAGCAGCAAATATTAACCATTTCCATGTGTAGCTTCCTCAGAAGAGAGAGAATTCAGATTGTGTTACTAACCACATGATCAGTCTCCTTACCTCGACCTCACATGTATGTTCCGAGCCATCCAGGAGGGTTACTTTGCACAGCATGTTCTTTGGCTTTTTTACAACTTTGAGAGGAGATTTCGATAACTTGCTGGAAGAGGATTTCTGGGAGAGTTTGTCGTCTTCAACTTGCTGGTCGTCCTGTTGATCCACAGTAAGTTTACCAGAAGCTCCGTCTGCCTCCTTTTCCCGTTCACCAAGCTAATGACAGCCTCAAACAATTAGTCTCGTAAGAACACATTCTATTCCATAGTATAAACTTTACTACAATAAGAAAACAAATTTTAACTTCAGCTTACGGTTAACTGCTTTAAAAAAATCCTCACAGCAGGGAGTTCTTAATGTGACATTTTATTGGCATATTATTTTATACTAACAATTATAAACTTTGCTCCCAAGAGGTTTTTTCAGTAGAATCATCAAAGTGCAAACATTGATACTGACTACCATGTGACCACTGTGTGCGCTCCAGCATTTTGCTAGAAAATCCAAGATTAACTCCACCATCCTACTCTACACCATGACTTGCCATCTTGCTGTATTTCAAATACTATCCACTTTTCCCTTAAAGGGTGCAGCCTTTCTATATTAACTTAGTCTCACGTTTAACTTGATAGCTCTTGTTACTGATGATAGAATAGGAGGATAAGCCTTTCTCTTTTTGTGCAATTACAAACCTTCAATTTAAAAGCTTTCCATTGAATAAACTACATTTCATAATTTATGATACAAACTCCTGTTCGCTATTGATTGTACAGATGCTCAGGAGTATGAATTTTTAAGAAGTGTCAAGTCCCACCTCACCACCTTCCTTCATTACAAATTTAACGATTGAACATCAAGTGGGTTTAGACTTCACTCCAGTGCTAATGGGTGGTTCAGTTAGTGCATGCATCCGCCTAAGCAGTAGCAAATCTTTCCACTTGGCTAAGGAAACAGAGAAAAAAAGTCAATAATTGGCTGAGGATCTGTAAAGCAACAACAGGGTAGGTTGAGAGATTTAACTCAACCAGAATTCAAACCCAGCGTATATACCGTGCATCAAAAAGATTTTCTTCTCTACCATATCGTTCCATGATCCTAAATATTCTTCTAGCCCTCTCTGCTCCAGTGAATGTAATTCTAGCCTCAAAAAGACCCCATGAAGTCTCACAACATCAGGCCAAAAGCGGGCAAAGAAACCTCCTGCTGATTAATACCAAATGATCCCATCTCCTGCATGATGCATCGGTGCATCTCTACACTGAACAGTAATTGCAAGCAGCACCAAGGATGCAGGATAAATGTCAGTGGGGGGAGATTTCAATGTTCAGTGCCTAAGCTGGAGGAGTCCTCAGATACTGAAGCAGTCCATGTCCAAATGCACCAATACCTGGACAATACGCATGTTTGGACCAACAAGTGGAAAGTAACAATGACTATCACCATTATCTCATGTCATTGAAAGGCATTACCATCACTGAATCCATCACTATCATCCTCTTGGGGTGACCACTGATCAGAAACCAAACAACCAAATAAATACTACGACTACAAGAACAGGTCAAAAGCTATGAATCCTGTAGCAAGTAACTCCCCTCCTGACTCCCTAAAGCCAGTACACTGTGTACAACGCAGAAGTCAGGGGTATGTTGGAACCCTCCCTGCTTGACTGGAATAAGGGCAACTGCAACAACACTCTAGAAGCTTGATGCCATCCAGGACAAAGCAGCCTGCTTGACCGGCACCACACCCACAAACATCTACTCCATTCACCACTGATGCACTGTGGCAACAGTATGTGTAGTATCGAAAAGATGTATTAAGGATCATGATTCCTTCAACAACACCTTCCAAATCCATGACCTCTACCAGCCGGAAGGGCAAGGGTAGTAGATGCATAGGAGCACCACCACCTGCAAATTCTCCTCTAAGGCAGAAATCAACCTGCTGTTTCTTCAATGTCACTGGGTAATGCTCTCCTACAGCCTCTTCCATCAGGTTTGAACTCACGCACCAACAGGTTCAAGAACAGCTTCTTCCCTGCCATTATTAGACTGATGAATGGACTCTCTAACGTCAAATAATGTTGAACTTGTTAATGTTGATCTTGCTTCGTGCACCTCCTGTTCAGTGTAACCTGTATGCCTCATTCTGTCTAAGCATCCTATAATCAGCCTGTACTGTCCGCAAACGAAGCTTTTCACTGTACTTAGGTACACGTGACTACAATAAAATCAAATCAAATCCAGGAGCCCTCCACACCCCAAGTACTGCAGCACTTCAAGAAGGCCACGCCTATCACCCAAGGGCAATTAGGGATGGACAATAAATGGTAGCCTTGCCAGCACTGCCCACCTACTTTCAATGGATACGAAAAGCTATGGCATTGTACCAATTTACTTTGCAACTCTTGGGCCATAATTAAAAATTGGGAGAAAAAAAAAGGTTTGCTGAATGCCATTGTGACATTAGTAAATATCAATACTGTACTCCCAATACTCAAATCCAATATCTCACGAACAAAAATAGATCTGATATTGATTAATTTCAGTCTTCTTCCAAGCAAAGCAACATGCACTCTCTGTACACAGGCCTTGGCCGTTTGTCAACCAACTTTCTCTTCAGCTGCAATTTCTCCACATACCTCAGTTGGAATTTACTTGTATGACACTTCATTGAACATGTTTGCAAGTTCACAGGCACCACACGGAATGTGTTCCTTTCATCTATCTCATTCATTTCCAAGAATAAAACCATTTTCATATTTAATTTAAAATGCTGATTTTTTGGGGCACAAAAATATGAAATGACAAGTGAAATATACATCAGCAGCTAGATCACAACAAATGGATTTTTAATCTAAGCCTCGACATGCGTCGAGGCAGAAAGTGGACACAAGATACATTTGATTTAGGATACTACCATCTGTGTGTGTGTTATGACTTCAGTTTCAGAGATAATCCAATATTCAGAATGAAACTAAATTCGGCATTCTGATCAGAACTCAATAACAACAGTGTCACCACCCAGTGGAGAAACCATTTCACCTCTCCTCAGGTTGGCACTGCCCGAACTTGGAGGGTTTTATTGAATAGACCAAATCAGCACATGACAAAAAGGCAAAATCTGCTCGAGTTTCAGGATTCAAGTATGTAGCCACTTTATTCCAAACTGCCCAAACACGAATAGCGTGTCGGCTAGGAAGTGATCCAGGGAGATCTGCACATGCCATCGCTTGTGCACAGATCTTCACTCAGTAGCGGAAATGCAATTTGTTGCCATAGACAGCTCAAAAATGTAACAACGGTTTTTCCAGGTGCAAAGTGCTCAGTAGCTCTTCTCAGTCTCTGACCAGAGCTGCTAAATGACCACAGCTTTCGCTGAAGAGACAGCGACTGACAAGGATACATCTTGAGGGGAATAGTGTCAACTAAATGGATATAAGCTTCAATACCATATTAAAATAATGTTTAAATTAAATTAGACTAACGTTAAAGAATCAGCCGTGCCTCGTAAGCTTTGATGTTTTATTTTCAAAAGTCGAAATGAGAGATTACCTCAGCAAAATTCAATTCCAGCTGAGTTAAACACTCCCATCAGCCAGCTTGTCGCTTTAATGATTTTCAGCCAGCCACCAAGCTTTGTATTTCCTCATCCAACTGGAAAGATGGCTATCCCTCTAATGGATGTGTACAATCAGCCAAGCCACAAATATGTTACTATTTGGATGAAATCTATAATCCCACCAGCTGTTTAGATGCAAGTTTCATAATACAGGAAGGTGCTGTAGTGAGATTGAAGATCAATTAATTAAAAATATTTCATTTCTCATAACGTGGCCTACGCATGATCTAAAAATAAATGGGGAATACAAATTATGAAACAACAAACTTAACAGTGCATTTTATCCACATCATCCACCCTCTGAAGGTTTCATCGCATGCAATAACTTCAAATGGAGTCACTTCCATCTATCAGGGACTTTACAGATCTTCAATGGGCAGCTAAGGTAATGTTAAAGGTGGCACCTCTTTTATACCAAATGAGAACCTCTCCATCTTGAAATGCTAAGATTCCAACAGCTAGACAATGATGTCTATATTCTTTGCCCTGAGCCCATGCCAAACTTGAATTCTTTAGTGACATGGCATGGGCACAACACAAAAAAAAGTTAAATCTTGATCACAGCTGAAATTAAAGATATTCTGTGCTCAGTAAGTGCAATTAGAAAAAGTGCAATGTGATAATGGAGACCTCTCAAGACTTAATGACTTTACCTGACCTGATCTAAGAGACCTGTATAAAAATGTGACATACCTGCTCCTTGGTCTCAGAATTGCCAATTCCTGTAGGGGGCCCGTCAATTCCGTCTTCCTGTTGACGCTCTACAACCTGCTGTTGTTCAGCTGTCGCCTCTTTCTTTTCAGATGCTTCCTTTTGGTCTTGTTCTTGTTTTGATTCGGAGTCTGAGCCCGGTTCCATGGTCATGGTTGCAAATTAACCCTGGAAGACCAATGTGTTACAGAAAGTCAGTTTACAATTGTTTAGTACAAAAAACAATTCCATAGAGTTTTGTCTCACCTTTTGGACAGTTAGGAACAGCCTGAATGAAGGAGAAAAAAAAAGTGCAAAGTACAGCCCTAACTGTGCCTGCTAAGGATTTTCCCTCTATTTAAAACAACGGCATCATCTTCACCCAATTTTCTTTCCTGCTGTGCACCCAATCTGCTGAAATGCTGTGAATTTAATACCAAATTCAAATACTGAAGGTCTAGGTGTAGGTATCAAATCAGGACATCATACCTGTTATAGGAAGGATATTATTAAATTGGAGAGGGTTCAGAAAAGATTTACCAGGTTGTTGCTGGGAATGGAGGGTTGGAGATATAAAACAAAAGACCAGATAAGCTGGAACTTTTTCACTGAAGTGTAGGAGGTTGAGGGGGTGACCTTATTGGAGGTTAACAAAATCATGAGGGCCATGTTAAGGTGACTGACAAGGGTCTTTTCTGAAGGTTGGGGGAGTTCAAAACCAGGAGCCATATTTTTAAAGTGAGAAGATAAGATTTAAAAAGGACGCAAGGGGCAACTTTTTTCACACAGTGAGTGGAATGAACTGCCAGAAGTGGTTGATGCAGGTTCAGTTACAACATTTAAAAGTCATTTGGAAAAACTACATAAATAGGAAAAGTTTGGAGGGATATGGGCCAAGCGCAGGCAGCTGGCACTAATTTAGTTTTGGAACATGGTTGGCGTGGACTAGTTGGACTGAAGAGTCTCTGTTTTCATGCCATATGACTTTATGACTCCATAAAAATGTCACTAATTCACAAATCTACCAACTAGAAATTTGATCTGAACCATGAACAAGAGTACAAATCCCCTTAGTTACCTCACTGCTCAAAGAAACTACTTCATTTTCACCTCCAAATTAGAACCTATTCTGTCTAACCTATTGGTGCTAAAGCCACAATCTATATCCTTATTCAAGTCAAAAGTCAGCATCTTAAACTTTAATTGTACTCTCCACTTCTGAAAGCCACAACTCATTAAGAATGAATTCCATGTCTTCTCCCACAAAGTTCTGCACTCCCATCACTGTTCCCTCTATCTGCCCCCCAGTCGCAGCATATGAATTTTAAATTTTTGTCTGGATCTATCAATCAATCAATCAATCAATCAATCAATCTCAATATCTCAGTGATGTTCTCCAATCTCCTGTAAGCTCCCCATTCCTCCAAATGCCTCTGCTTTGTCACTGTTACCAACTCAGTCATTATGGTCCTGAACTCTGGAATTTCCATCAAAACTGTTGATACATCCTTCCCTCCTCCTCTAAATGCTCGCAAAAGACATCAGTCCACGCTTTCATAACATGCCACCTTTCTAATTTCCCACACTTTTTTGTTGTCCTTTTTAAATATCCATTTAGACTTCTCTTTCCGTTTATAACGTGCATTGTAGAAATACAAAGCTGTTTGTTAAAAACATTTTAAAAAATTTGTCCAAAACACCTTCGATTATAAATCTAACAAAAAAATTGATCCCCACTCTACTAAAGTTGAATTATAGGCATCCAATTCCCAAAATCCAGTCTGCTCATAACCACAATAGATGGCCACATGATAACGGAAAGTAATCATTTGTCCTGAATTTTCTAGGGATTCATTTTTACTCCAAACATACAGACTGAGACAAACAAAGTGAATAGTCAGAGCACACATGATGCAGAACAAAAAACAAGCCAACTTGACTAATTTAACAAATGATGCAGATTTGCAGTAGCAATGTCAGTAAAACAGTCAATATTTGCCATTATCACTGCAGAGACAGACAACAATGTTGGCAGTCTGTGCAGAGTTTGTGTGGAAATACTGAAGTCAATTTTAGTAATCTTCTGCTTTTTCAGAGATGTCTGAGCCCCTGCAAAATAAAATCCATAATAAATCTATGAATTGACAAGCACTTCTACTCGGAGTCAAGTTCAAAAATTTTAGGGCCTGAACTCTTGCATGTTCTAGACCCCTACCCCACACACCAGGCCTGTTATCACATAGCCTGGCATTAGACACTATTTATTGTTAGCCACTACTAGTGTCCATTAACAGCTATTCACCCTTCTAGCAATTTTGTTATCAACTGCTTTCTCTCTCTTTGGGCCCTATCCCTTCCTATTGTTTACTCCTTACCCCATCCCTATCTTCTTTTCCGAGCTACCATCAGTTCTGAGGAAGGGTCACCAGACCCAAAACGTTAACTCTGATTTTTCTTAAAAGATGCTGCCAGACCTGCTGAGCTTTTCCAGCATCTTCTGTTTTCGTTTGTACTGAGTCCGTTAGTCGTGTTGCAAAAACCCTTCAAAAACACAAACAAAAACACAAGTTGCTGGAAAAGCTCAGCAGGTCTGGCAGCATCTGTGAAGAAAAAACAGTTATCATTTCAGGTCTGGTGACTCTTCCTTAGAACCGCTTCCTTCAAAAACATACTCGCGAATGAGGAAAACTGGGATAATAACAAGCATGACTTCGTAATTACTACTAAACACTGATCTAGAAAAGTTAACATATTTGTCACATGTGGAATTAAGAAAATACATTACAATAAATTGTTGAAAGTTTAATCACATTGCTGTTAGCTTCAATCCAAAATTTAGTCATTTGTTGCACTTTCAGGAAAAACAATTAAAGTGAAGAGCAAAAAAGGGCTACAACTTTCTAACCCGCTCTGTCTTTTCCTGCAACACTCTGATTTTATTGCAAAGTCTGCACCACAGACGTTTTTTTATATCCGGTGTCTCCTTTCTTCAAGGTCAGCAGCAAGCTCCATGCCTCCATTACTGGAGGAACAGAACTAACTTGACTTCAAATTTTCAGCTTATTGGATTTTCTTCCTTTATTCATTAATGGGATGAGGACGTCGCTGGCTAGGCAGCATTTATTGTCCATCCCTAAATGCTCAGAGGGCAATTCAGAGTCAGAGTCAACCACATTGCTGTGTGGCTGGAGTCACATGTAGGCCAGACCAGGCAAGGATGGCAGTTTCTCTCCCTAAAGGACATTAGTGAACCAGTTGGGTTTTTCTGACAATCAGCAACGGATTCACAGTCATCATTAGATTCTTAATTCCAGATATTTTTATTGAATTCAAATTCCATCATCTTCCATAGCAGGATTCAAACCCAGGTCTCCAGAATGTTATCCAGGTCTCTGGATTAACAGTCCAGCCATAATACCACTAGGCCATTGCCTAATACCATTGGGCCATTGCCTCCCCTCAAGATTGGAAACTTTTTTTTGGGCCTCATGCTTAAAGCATCTAATTTCTCCTGTAAATATTGGATCATGAATTCAAGTTATAAATAATCTGTTAACTTAGTGTTTAAGGGTCAGAAGGCGGCCATTTGGCCCATCATATCTGCTGCACCATTTAACGAGATCACAGCTGATCTGATTACCTTGAATTCCACATTGCTGCCTTTCACCATAACACTTCATTCCCTTATTGATTAATAATGCCTCTCAGCCTTAAATACACCCAATGATTCACCCTCTACAGCCCTCCGTGGCAAACAACTCCACCAATTCACTACTGTCAGTGAAGAACTTCCTCCTCATCTGTGTTAAAAGGGGAACCCTTTGTTCTGTGATTGGGTCCTCTGGTCCTAGAGACTTTTCCACAAGGGGAAACAGTCCCTCCACATCTATCCTGTCAATTCCCCAAGCATCTTGTAAGTTTCAATAAGGTTGCCTCTCATTCTTCTAAACTTCAATGAGTATAACTCAACTGCTCCTACTAAGACAGTCCCAGCATTAGCCTACTGAACTGCAGCTATTAAACACAAGTATCTTCTAATATTACTTATTGAAAGTAATCATTAAATCTTAAAATAGTAATATACTTTTTTGACAATACTTCTTACTAAACTGTAAATTCAGACACTGTATTGTCAGATCTCTTTACTTGATCCACATTCGATCCCACAAAAAATGTTACTTGCATATCAACAGATTTAGGTTCTAAAATTGACACGAGTGTTAGGATACAGCATTAAGGCTGCCATCACCTTATAAAAATGCAGCAGAAATCCCTATTTACAAATGCTTGCCAACACAAAAGCAACACAGTACAAGCAACTCCAAAGAATTGCTCAGCCGGGAGTTCCTTTAAAGTACCACAGCTTACCACTGGAAACAAGGAAAATATGGTGGATATTTCGCACCTGATGTTGGTGGCTTCTGATTTTGTCCACCCCAGTCCAACACTGGCACCTCCACATCATCAGCGAAGATAGGAATACAAACTTAGGAAAAACAGCATGCAACAAAATGAGGTTCAGAACTATTGCTCGTTCTGCTAATTTGACAAACCAGAAGAGCTGCAGATGCTGTAAATCAGAAACAAAAACAGAAATTGCTGGAAAAGTTCAGCATTTCTGGCAGCACCTCTGGACAGAAATCAGGTAACGTTTTAGGTCCAACGACCTCCTGTTGGGGGCAATTCTACCTTGGCCATCTTAGAGTCACTATTTGCAGACTGTAAAGCATGCAGTTCAAATCAGTCCATGCTACCCCCCATCCCCACCAGGAACTCAAGGTGATTTTGATTAAGATCAGCCCCCACCTCATGACCGATTTCAAAGACTAGCATGTAATCTTGAGTCATAACGGGGAGAATGAAGAGCAGCTCTATTGTTCAACAAGACTACGGTCATGTTACATTAATCAGTGCAGGGTATTGAAAGGAAACATGGCAGTGAGCCACACAGGAGTTGAATGAATCTAGGCTAATCAGTGTTTATTCCATAATAAGACATCACGAGACATCCTTACGGTCCTTGAAACAGAGGATCCACCCTGCATGCTCCATTCAGTGACGTATTTGGGCTACAATAGGAGGCTATTCAAAATAAACAAAACAAAAACACAACAGACCTTTGCAGACAAAGGATTCCAGAAATATTTCATGAGACAACACAATTAAGTTTGAACTGTGATGATGGTGGT